AAATGAGTATTTTTTAAATATCTTTTTTGTAAAAAAATTTTATATGCATTTAAGAGCATTTTTCTTTATATGTAATGATTGTCATATTTTATTCTTCGTTTAAAAACTCCAGGTATTCTATGAAAAAATTAGTATTCTATAGAATGCTGAAGTTTTATATATTTCCGGTAACATATATATTATAAGGAATCTAGTTTGACAGACATTATCTTTAATATGTAGTGTGTCTATACTGTCTGATATATTGCAAATATTAAACCGTATATTTTAATATGAAATTTTGTAAATGGTTTTTGTTTTTCTTTTCTGTTTTAAATAACTAACTGAAAAAGTATCCATTTAAGTTAAATATAGTTACATATTATATTGTCATTTTTTTGCACTTTGGTACAATTTTCCGGTCAATTGTCCATCAATTCTGTAATGATGCCTAATTTTTATATTTAATTTAATTTAGTTTTAGTTAAAAAGTATATTTCCCTAGGTCAAAGCAGTTACAAACACTCAATATGTCCGAATGTCCAGATAAATATGACCATTGGTGTTTTGCAAGATATAATATCTTGCAAAACACTAATACATGTTATTAAATTTTAAAATAAATAATTTTTGTTTAAAAAAATTATTGCAAAAAAAATTTTGTTTGGAAAAAAAAAACATTGGCTTTTTCGGTACTTCAAATTCAATTCATTTTCTCTGTCTTTTTAGATATTTTAATTAAATTCTCTGACTTTTCCTTTATTTTTTTTAGATCGATAAATATCCCTGTTCTGCTCACTTTAGATATTTTTTCTTCGTTCAAGTAATAAAAATCGGGAAAAATTTTGCTTAGACGTTAATCTTATAAATGTATAAATGCATGTATGCCATTTTCATAACAAAATAAATCTTAAATTTATATTTTGCGACACGTAAACTTGCGTTCAGTCTCTCTTAAACTGGCATATTGTTCTGTCATATTATTCTAACTTATCTAGCGTGATATAAAAAATTTCGTCATTTTCTTCCCAAAAATGTCTTAGCGCTATATTTCTTTGACGATTTTTTTTCTTTCTATCTCTTAACCTTGAGAAGGGAGAGAAAAAAAGTAAGCCAATCATCTTCTTAAAATGTTGAAAGATCAAAACTGAAACGCATATATCCTCCTTTTGTACTTCTAAACAATAGTCATACATACCAGCGGGATAGGTTATGCATCCGTATTTTGTTGTCCTTTTTCCGATAATTAATCTGCATGATATGCTTAAAATTATAGAATTGTCTTTTATTTTGGCATTTTATTGTGCCGATTTTTTTTTAATGTGTAGGTGTTTATATTTTGCCTTGAAAGATAAGTGCTCCACCTCTACTCTATTGATAAACGTAAAAAAACTTTCAAGCATTTTTAAGACCTATTTATTTTCGAATATCCCTGATAAAGAACGGAAATTGTGGATTCCTACGATAATAAAACAATGCAGTGGTAATATCTCACCTGTTTTGTTTAGGTTTGTCTGTAATTGGATATTTATGGAGTGATATGTAGAGCCCGTATTTTGATGACCTAAAAATTCCTATAAATATCCATAAAAAAATGCAAAAACCTTGCATGCCTTTAAATTTCAAAATTGCCCCATTATCTGAGTAAAAACTATTAAACTAAAACAATGTTTTCCCTTTAAAATATTTTCATTCGTGTCAAAATGTATGAAGCGACGTAATGCATGTTGTATGGTTCATTGAAGTTTGAAATATATCATAATACAGAAGGGAACCGGTTATCCGGAATGCTATTCCGGATAACTGATTTTTCCGGTTTTCTGAATCGCTACAAAAAGCCGTTTTTTTTATTGTTAAGCCCAACTAAAAGAAATTTTTTTTGAAATCTTAAAGGAAAAAAAACGATGACATTAATGATTATTTCCAAAATGATGGTAAGGTAAAAATCTTTCAAAAAAGAAAGAAAAATCCTAAAATCTTATGAGGGAAAATTTTTTTTTTATTTTTAAAAATGGCGGGAAAATTCATTGAATTTCGTTCCGGTTTTTTGGTTTTCCGGTTTTCTGATTTCCGGATAACGGGTGCTGTACTGTATATGCTAAAATAACAGGAAATGAAAGAAAAAGGAAAATATATTGATTTCTGAACGTTTTTATTTTATATATAAATTAGTTTAATAAATATTAAAACTTCCAATGTTACTAAATATAAGAATTGCATTGGATTGTGAAAAAAATTTTGATATTTTTAAATGCAAATGATCGTCTCTTGCCTGGGGGAAGCTTCTTTCAACGATTCCTGATGTGATTCGTGCATACTTGAGGATTATTAAAAAAAAGAAATACCAAAAAATAGGAAGAATACACCAATTATTTAACAAAAACTCTGAAATGAAAAAAATAACCTAAAGGTCTTAAAAATATCCCTAAAGAGAAAAAAAGACGCTAAAATAATAAAAAAAGATATTTTCTCCTGAAAATTTTCATTTTTTATTCAAATTATTTTAATAAACATTCAAACTTCCAGTGTTATTAGATATAAAAATTATTGTTAATTGGTGTTTGTTATTTTGACAGCTAAATGAGCGAGACGCTCATAATTCCATGTTGCCTGGAGAAGCTTTTTCCAACATTTACTGATGTGATTGGTGCATACTTAATGATATTAAAGATGTCAAGAAATAATAAAAAATTGAGAAACACCAGAAACTTATAAAATGCAAAGAAATGCCCCAATTTTTTATTATTTTAAAAAAAGTACCCCGAAGGTCTAAAATCCTCTTAAAGAGAAAAAATGTTCAACAATACAAAAACATGCAAATGTCATTAAAACTTGAGCCCTATTCATAAATACATAAAACTTTAGAAAAACAAATGAAGAAATAAAAATGCTTAGAAATACAAATATTTGAAGTCTATTGGCAGGATTCACAACTGCCGTAAAATTTAAAAATTATTTTGAGAATGAGGATTTCTTTCTTAACTAATACCTAGGCAGGAGCAGGTATTTAAAGACTCTATAGTGTCAAAATAAAAAAAATGTTTTAACTCTCAACTATTTTGAGATTGAGGATTTCTTTTAGATCTCATAGTTTACGCACTGATATTTGGATGTTATACGACTCCAGTGTCAAACTAAGAATGATTTTGACTCTGTTTTGAGATTGATTTTTTTATTTTATTTTTTTAATGATTAGGAAGACACAAATATTTGAAATTTATTGACAGGCTTCATCCTCCCTGAAATTCAGAACTGTTTTAACTCGGATAAGACATTAAGGATTTTATTTTATCTAATATTTAGCTTTCAGACATTTAATTTCTATAGGCCAAATTTGAAAATTATTTTATGTTTTTAACATTAAGAATTTCTTTTGTACCTAAAGTGACATATGGATCTATTTTGATTTATGCTTTTCTTGTGTCACTATATCTGTTAACAAATTGATATTATTACAAGATTTTCTCTAAATACTACCTTTGACATATGAGTTTTAGAATTCTTATTTAATGTGAACAAATTATAAGCTTCTTACGATATTAATTGTTAATTCTAACTAGTAAAAATATATGGGATTGCCTTTTGATTTGATTCGAAAGATTAAGTAGCTTTCATTATTTTTTTATTTCTTATAAGGGGTGTTCAAATATCACGAAAACATTTATAAATATAAAGTAAGCATTATATATCTAAATATTGCGTAAGCATTATATGTTAAAATATTGCGTAAGCACTATTTGTTAAAATATTTCGTAGTCATTATTTGTTAAAATATTGCGTAAGCATTATTTGTTAAAATATTGCATAAGCATTATTTGTTAAAATATTGCATAAGCGTTATTTGCTAATATATTGCGCATCGACATTTTACGTAAGCATTGCGTAGCGATGTATTCCTTAAGAACTACCTATCAGAATATCATGTATTGCGTAAGCATTGCGTATCAAATACGACGTAAATACTATATGTTATATTAAATATTACATATGCACAATATTATAAAGTAATAGGTTGACCTGATTTAGGAGTTTTGAGTTTCCTTCCCCCTGGTTAACGAAAATAAGTAGATCACAAAATCGCGGTTTCAAATTTAATTTTTTTTGGTTTCATTTTCGCATTTTGAAGAGTTTCTCCCAATGATTAGAATTTAGAATTAACGCAAGTCTTCTGCTCTTTGGATGCTTACCAGGAGTCTGTCCAGACATTTTGAGAAAGGTCCGGTTTTTGTGAAATTGGGGGGGGAAATTACTCACATTCTTTCAACCAGGGTCCTGCTATTATAAATTTGTGCAAATAGGGTCCTGTAATTACAAAAAAAAATTTTCAAGGAGTTTTTAAATTGTAAATAGATACAAGATTATGTAGCACTCAGCACTGTAAAATTATAATAAAAATTAAATTTTCAAAAATAAACAGCAATTGTTGCTTCTAAATTAGAGATGCAACATACAAATATTTGGTATTTAGCCTATACTGCTGAACGCAGAATACTCATTTCGGACAAATAAAGGAAGAAGCGCCTGCCTAAGACAAAGACGTTTACATCCATCTTTCCTGTTTTTTTCCCTGGGAAGAGTTTATTCAATTAACAAAACAATAATGAAGATAAACAAATTTGTGAAGGGTCCGATTAAAAGAAAAATCATTTTGTGATGCGTCCGTTTTTAAGTTAAAATATTTTGTGAAGGGTCCGTTTTTATGAAAAGATATTTTGTGAAGGGTCCGTTAACGACCCAAATTTCTTCTAAACAGACCCCTGCTTACACAATATCTGAATTACCTGCAGCGTGTGATTCTTTCAACGAATCAGATTTTAATATAGCTGACTCATTTTTGATCTTTTTAGGGACTATCCCTATTAATTTCAAGGTGGTATCCCTATTTCAAGGTATCCCTATTAATTCCAAAAAATTATGCTCAGAGATTAGAGAAACTACATTGAATAGAGAGAATTTTATTTTAATATATGATTGATCAAATATTTTAGTATGTAGTACTAAATATCTTTATTTTTTAACAGGACTCCTATGATGGACCTGTTGGTTCAGGCTGCCACATCCAACAAGATATCTCCGAGTGGCCACGTGATTAAAGTCATTTCGAGGGAAGAAGAGCGCAATGTCAACTATAAACCGAATACCCCCATCGGATCCCTAGATGCCAATACAGTGTACATAGTCCCCAAATCTACACTAGAAGCACCCGTCAAAAGAATGCCAAAACTTGCTAACCAGCCTTTTGAGGTTACTATACATTCTTAATTCCTAAACAACGAGAAACGAACGCAAATATTGTCACGATACGATGATTTTGGTTTGTGAAGCACCTCCTTCAAAAGCACAAAATGAAAGAATCACAAATGCAGGAGAATGCGCGCGATGCAACGAGGAAAGTTATTTTTTTTGTTGTAACTTGTTTGAAATTTCCCCTGCATCTGTGTGTTTCTCTTTTCCATTTTGACATTTAAAAGTGTGATTCTCTAAGTACCAAAACCATCGTATGCCTGTTTGTGTTGCGTTATTAATGCTTCTTTTACATTCTTTTAACTTTATTAATTTCTAATATTTTTCATTCCTTCCTGTTCAACTATCTCTCTACCTCTCTACTACTTCCCACTCTCTCTTCTAATATCTCCCTTCTCAATAAATAGAATTTCTAAAAACTGATAAAACAAAATTAAATTGAAGAAGAAAAAAAATTTTTGTTGAAGAAGTAGCTTATAATACGGAAATGACAAATATATAAAAATCTCAATTTTTAATGTGTTGTCGCTTACATTGACTTTTCTTTTGTATGGCAGATTTCGTATTTTGCCAAATATTTTACGAATACTGTGTAATCGTTTTCTAAGAAATTTCATTCGAAATATCGATTTATTTTTTAATCTTCGAGGATAAAGGAAAATTGAGAGTTTCGACGGATAATTGAAACAATGAGTATGAATTGGAAATTTCAACCAAATCATTGAATCAACGAGGATAAAAGCCAATTTTCCGAATTTTAAGTTGAAATTGAATCATTCTATAACTGGTATCATTCTATATTACACCATTTGAAATTTTTGAGTATATTGAACCATAATAAACAATTTCTTTCACAATATCTGCAATATTACTATGGTTTTAAGTTTTTTTTTTATAATATTATACTTCTTAAACTTAATTACACGAAACCATGGTTCAACTTAACTGGAAATATACCGAGTAATTTAAAAAAACAACGCAAGTGCTTCACAATTGATTCCGAGATAAGTGTCTTGTTGATAATTATTTTCCTTCCAATGCTAATGCTATAAACTCTAAAATAGAATGTAAAAAAAAACTGATGGAACAAAATATATTTTTTAAAATTTTTATTTATTTATTTATTTATTTATTTATTTATTTTTTGCAATTTGTAGCTTACCTACAAAGATGGCAAATATATAAAAATATCAGTTTTGAATTTTTTGTCGCTTACGTTGTATTTTCAGTAGCACGGCAGAAATATGGTTCTATTAAATGCCATATTAAGGTCTCTGAAAATTTGCTCCATATTACGGTTCAAAATATCGATATTAAGGTTCAATGTAGAACACATTTTTCTGTATAATTCAATGTGGTTCAATATATAACCGATTTTTCTGTTGTGTGCTCATCGGATTCTTTTTTTATTAAAGTTAAACATACCATAAGCGGCCAAGTGACCGTTTAAGAACTTTTGCATCGAAAATGCACTTATCTTATCGTTTTTGCACACTTGTCTTTGTGACTTTTTCTAACAATTGTATGTGTTACAAAATAATATTCTATTATTATTATTATTTGCATTTTGTTTCTTTTATTAATATTTCATATTGTTAATATTCTATTATTATTATTTGCATATTCTATTATTATTATTTGCATTTTGTTTCGAATAATATTTGTCGTATACCTATTTCTACCACAACCGGTCATTTGACCGGGAGAACAATTTATTACTTTATAAGGTTATCGGATCAGAAACTACGATGTAATGCGTGTTCGACGTTTTGCATTCGCTTATAGTTGCACATTTCTGCAAACACTGTTGCGTAGTGAGTTCAATCAGAATAACTGTGAATTCTAATTTCAAGAAAGTACCTAAAATTTCTGATTGGCATTTTTGTGTAAAAAAAAGTAACAAAAACTAAATGTTTTGCTGAGTAGCTTATATTTTATTTTGATAGCTTTGCTTCATTTCTAACTAACTGTTGGTTTCTATCCAGAAAAATGTCGAAATAATCAAGACAAGTTCTTAGAAGAAATAATGTTAATTATAAGAATAATGATAATTCTTATATATTCTTATAAGAATAATTCTTATATATTCTTATAAGAATAATTCTTATATATTCTTATAAGAATAATTCTTATATATTCTTATAAGAATAATTCTTATATATTCTTATAAGAATAATTCTTATATATTCTTATAAGAATAATTCTTATATATTCTTATAAGAATAATTCTTATATATTCTTATAAGAATAATTCTTATATATTCTTATAAGAATAATTCTTATATATTCTTATAAGAATAATTCTTATATATTCTTATAAGAATAATTCTTATATATTCTTATAAGAATAATTCTTATATATTCTTATAAGAATAATTCTTATATATTCTTATAAGAATAATTCTTATATATTCTTATAAGAATAATTCTTATATATTCTTATAAGAATAATTCTTATATATTCTTATAAGAATAATTCTTATATATTCTTATAAGAATAATTCTTATATATTCTTATAAGAATAATTCTTATATATTCTTATAAGAATAATTCTTATATATTCTTATAAGAATAATTCTTATATATTCTTATAAGAATAATTCTTATATATTCTTATAAGAATAATTCTTATATATTCTTATAAGAATAATTCTTATATATTCTTATAAGAATAATTCTTATATATTCTTATAAGAATAATTCTTATATATTCTTATAAGAATAATTCTTATATATTCTTATAAGAATAATTCTTATATATTCTTATAAGAATAATTCTTATATATTCTTATAAGAATAATTCTTATATATTCTTATAAGAATAATTCTTATATATTCTTATAAGAATAATTCTTATATATTCTTATAAGAATAATTCTTATATATTCTTATAAGAATAATTCTTATATATTCTTATAAGAATAATTCTTATATATTCTTATAAGAATAATTCTTATATATTCTTATAAGAATAATTCTTATATATTCTTATAAGAATAATTCTTATATATTCTTATAAGAATAATTCTTATATATTCTTATAAGAATAATTCTTATATATTCTTATAAGAATAATTCTTATATATTCTTATAAGAATAATTCTTATATATTCTTATAAGAATAATTCTTATATATTCTTATAAGAATAATTCTTATATATTCTTATAAGAATAATTCTTATATATTCTTATAAGAATAATTCTTATATATTCTTATAAGAATAATTCTTATATATTNACAGTGAAAAGTTTTCGGAACTTCAGTGTTCAAAAAAGTATACAAAAGCTAGACGTTAAGAACGTATCCAATGCGCGAGCATCGGATTGCGAAGCAATCCGAAATGAACTGCGAAAGCAGTTCCGGGGGCTCGCGAGCAGGGGGCGAAGCCTCCTAGTAGTAATATATTTTGGTATTTAAGTAATAACTTTGTATGCGTCATTCAGAAAATCGAATCTGTGCAATTTATCAGCATTCGATATTTCTTTAGTTCTAAGCATTTTATTTCATAGAACTAAAAGAAATATCGAATTTTTAAGTCCAGTTGTGGTAAGTTAAGTGAGTCAACAGTGTGCCGCGCCTTCTTTCGAAAATCAACAAATGCACTTACTTTCAAAAATTGACTATAGATAATGATTGTTAATTTAAACAAAATATTTTCAGACATTTCTTTTTCTTCAGATCTGTAAATTATTCGTATAACTTCGTTGAACTATAACACAGTGATTAGATAAACCTTTTTATAAAGAAAAAAAAAGCGCGGCAAATAAACATTGTTGTGTTCGCACTATTCCAAATTTTTGGAACATTCAGTGTGAAAATTGTACCCTGATTCAATAATTTATAGCAAGCTCTGTGTTATTAATACTTACTTGATTCAAGTTTTTACCTGATGATTCAAGATTCCGTTATTTTTTTTAAACCATTTCTTTCGTAAAAGTTCAGTTAATCCAGTTTAAGAACAATAGACCAACAACAATATGAGAATCCATAATTAAGCGACTACTCCCTTTTTTTGGATCTCTTAAGAAGATGCTATATCGTGGGAGATATTCTTCATGGCAAATTATCTTTCACCTGCATAAATGATTTAAAATTTAAAGTATGCAAAATATGAATTTAGGTAACCGTAGAGTAAAACCCTGAAGTTTCAAATGCTGAAAAATATCAAAATACAAACAAGTTATGGCAAGATTATTTAGGATTACGCAGTTTCAAGTTCCAATAATTTGTTTGCATTTTGAAAACATCTTTTCAGCGCTCGAAACTTCATGGTTTACGTAAACTGATTTTTCTATAAACTTCAAAATTCCAATGTATTTGAAACAAAATTTGCCATGAAAAATTTCTTCCGAGGTATATTGTCCTCTTAAAATACTTGTGAGGCCCAATGGATGTAGTTTGTAAAGTTGCCTATAGGTCTATAGAGAGAACTCCCCTCGCCACAAAGTCTAATGCCATCTGTTGCTATGGAAACAAGAAACAGTTTCGCTATCGCCTGATTGCTTTTCTCTCGCCGACAAAAGCAAAAATTTACATTAAATATTGACCTACCACCCTTATTTGAAATCGTTAAAACTCATAACCATAGTCCCCATTTTTGCTCCAGACGAATGGCGGGGGGAGTTCTTTCCACAAACAGACAATACCATGGCTTGGGCTTTGGTTTGATTCCCCATGTAAAAGACTGGGTGTCTGATCGCACTTTCACCAATCGTGTTGAAGTGGTTCTAAATCCATTCTAATGTACTTGGTGATTTTAGAACCGGAGAAGTCTAAGTGTGATTGGGGAGAATGTTGCGGAGGCTGGTTGATAAATTACGGTAGTGCAGTGTACACATACACCTGTACTGTCTTCGGATTATCATTAAGAAAGAGTCCCATACTATCACCTTTAGTCCATTGTCTAGTGTCACGTTAACAAACTAAACTTGTAGGTTCTGGTAAGAATGCAACTCTAATCCCGGTCAAATGACGAGGTCAATACCTGAACCTAATTTCCATACTACTGCAATGAAA